TTCTACAAAGAACATTTGAAACCGATGACATAAGGTGCTGGACGTATGGTCAATTATGGTCTAGTGAATAATTCGTTGACACGAAACGATGGGTTCTAAGTTTGCGTATAGGTGGAGGCATTATGAATCACTGATACAAAGGTAACGAATGAAACAGAACATGCATCCTGGATTCCACTATCAGCTACAATCAACTAAACAACTAGTTAACCTCAGAGTACCATTGAAGCGCCGCTTGAGGCGGCAACATGTCATGAGAGACGATGAATTTTAGTCAAGTAAAAACAATCAACAAGAAACTCAAAAAATGATTTCAATGAATACTAAAAACGACTCGACATTCCCTCCGAGTATTCTATTACGGCGGCATATTTATTTTTATCTAAGGACTGTTATCAGTTGAGAGACAAAAGGCGACACAACTGTTAAGCTTTTCGAAATCTCATGAAACTTGTAATCGAGTCAGTATTTTCGAACCGAGAAATGATTTTGAATTTTATATCACGAATCTTAAAATTCATATTGGCCAACATTAGCTTTTAGTAAATGTGTGAAACGGCTTCATCAACCTGAAACCAGTTTGGAAATCTTCTGCTTCACTCACTCACTCAACAAGCCAGCATAAACAACAAGATTCGGATTCTGTTCTACACCAATGTGAAGTGAGTCAGTCAATTAGTGAGGTCTTCTATACGGGTGTGAAACTTGCACTGTGTGTCAGTCACGGAAAGCATTTCCAGCAGCCTGTTGCAGAATCTTATCAACAGCTGACATCCTCGCTAGCTCCAAACTGAAGATAAAATGGCCGGCCAGCCACCCAGAAAGAATTATTAACAAGCATCTGTGGGAACAAACCAACCAGAAACCGATCGCTGAACAAATATGTAGGAGAAAATGGAGATGGATCAGGCAAACATTCAGGAAACCATCGTATGAAATCGTGCACAATGCAGGCCATAGCTCTAATTGAATCCCAATTGGAAGCGATGACTGGGCCGGCGGTGTGGGGGTGACATGGGGGAGGTCGTATGAGCTGGAGAAGGAGATGAGAGATTATGGTCAATCGTGGTGTAAGCTGAAGAGGATAGCAGAAAACAGAAGAAAGTGGAACCCAAGGGAATAATAATAATAAATGTGTAGAACTGGATGAAAATGAGACTCGTTTAGAAACAAAAAATATCTACAAACATCAATATCTTTGCAAAAAGTATTGTTTCAATACACTTCTGTCTGTCTGTGGATGAGATTTTCAGAAAAAGCATCCGTCCATAAAGAGGAGACCTGTTTGACAAAACTATTTTATCAACAGTTTCCCAATCGAAAATAAATAACTTTCACAAACAGTAAATGAATTTCATCATTAATCAAGGAGTAAGACAAGGTTGCCTACTATCTCCAATGATTTTCCTGATTGCAGTAGACTGGATAATGCGACAGACAACGGGTAGCGAGGAAACAGGCATCAAATGGACCCACACAAAAAACATGGAGGATCTGGATTTCGCCGATGATATTTGTCTGGTCTTTCACAAACTGGAAGATATACAAGTGGAAAGCAACAAGTTGGCAGAAGAAGCATCCAGAGAAGATAGGACTTCAGGTGAACATAGATAAAACAGAGGTGGTAAAGACTCCTGGTCAACGGCAACAGCAACAACAACAGACAACAATCAGCATAAATGAGAGAAATTTGAAAGAAGCTACTTCCTTTACCTACCCACCTGGGAAGCATCGTTTCAACTATAGGCGGACGGAATTGATGAGGATATCAAAAAGAGGATCAGGAAAGAGAGTCAAGTTTTCATTACTCTCAGATCTGTGTGGAGGTTAACAGCACTCAGCATGAAAAGTGAGATCCGGATTTTTTGAGTCTAATGTGAAGTCAGTGCTACTTTATGGATCAGACACTTGAAGCGTCATAAAGAGCACTTCGAACAAACTACAGACCTTCAGCACCAACTGTATTAGCTCAACAGTCAAGATCAGATGGTGTGTCAGAAAAGATCAGCAACAGGAATCTCTGGGAGCGAACCAACCCAGCAGGAACTGATTGTGCAACAAATATACAGGAAGAAATGGAGAGGGATTGGCATACTCTTTGAAAACCATCAAGTGACATCACTAGACAAGCCCTCGAGTGGAACCCAAACGGGAAGCGGCGAGTCAGTCGTCCAAGGGTGATATGGAGGAGGTCATGTGAAGAGGAGATGAAAGCATGTAGGCAGATGTGGAGCCAGGTGAAAAGGTTGTCAGAGAACCGAACGTAATGGAGACGCAATATTCGTCTAGGAACAGCAGGAAACAATAATAATATTAATCACTAATCAAGAATGGTTACATAACAAATTAGTTATATTGAGAGTTGACAGCAAATGGAAATGATATTCAGCTAAATCACAGCTGGATGGTCGTGTTGTAACGTATTACACTTAATCCTAATCTGATACTAAGTGGTTTTTCAACAGTGTTCTGTTCTTGATGATTCTTTAACTGATTACGACAGTGAACGAAATCCCTACCATCTCAGGTAATATGTAAAGCATCAGTGACAGAACAAATACTACCAATACTACGCTTTTAGTTATATTTGATAAATATGCAAATTGTGATATTTTATTTTATAGTAGGCTAATTGAGATACACTGCAAAATTAATTTGCCCACTTCACTTATTTTTAATAAATAAACATTTACGTGTGTTTATTACTTGTATAAACTCTTAATTAACTTTGTCAGAATTGAATTCATTCAAATGTGTTCAGACATAAATTTAAATTATTTATCAGCCTACAATACATAAATCGAAACATTTGTGTATACTAGTTGTAGAAGCTTACTAACTTTATCTTGTGAATATTAACACGTTGAATTGAATGTCTAATGGCAGCCTTTTTAAATATATAAACAATTACAAGTTAATCTATTCCACCATGATAAATAAAATTCTAACTAACTTTAAATGATGAGGACAACAGTTGCCTGTAATTCAAAAAGCTCAGTGTTTCTCGAGGAGCAGTAGAAATTTTTCTACTGACAGCAGTGTGAGATAAAGTATAAGTCACATTACAACCTGATATCTGTGCTTCGGTGGCACAGCGGTAGAATACTCATCAACCACGCATATGGTTCGGAGTTCAAGCAACGGCCGACGCACTCCCTTACCTCGCTAAGCCAGTAATAAGACTGGTAAAGAGAGACGGTTGGGCATGGGGCTAGCAGCATCATCTTGCAAAAATAAACAACACTGGTACCGAAACGCCAAGCCTCTAGCTTGAATTTCTATATTCCACTTGGAAAGTAAAGGAATCAAAACAAATTTTGAAAAACTTTGATTGTACTGTTTTCGTGCTACTCCATGCAAAACATTTTCTTTGGTTGGAAACTAGGTAGTAACTAGTGTCATGGGTCTAGTCCTTTATTTGGTGTAGAGCGAATTCTATCAGTTATGTTTTCAATGTGGCCAACATGCTAGGTGGCTTGTCATTATGGTGCATTCTGAAATGTTGTTATTAGACGGTTGAAGACAATCGGTAGGAAGACTTGAATATGTGTTTCGCACTTCATTGCACTAGTCAGTGAGGAGTATCTGCAGCCTTTAGGGAGCTCATGTCCTTTATGAGGTCCGAACCCGTGTCACCCAGTGCTGCAGTCAGGGACATAGCCACCTACCGCGGTGGCTACACCAACACACACTTCACTAGTTACTACCGATTGTCCAATCCAAGTATTCAATACAGATCTACAGGAGGTCAGTTGCGAGCCGAAATCGCTCACTGGTAACGTCTTTGACTGCAGCACTGAATGACACAGGTTCGGATCTCAGAAAGGATTTGAATTGCCTCAAGACTGTAGATACTCCTTGCTGACTAGTGCCATGAAGCGCGAAACCTTGGTCCAAGACTTCTTACCGATTGCCTCCAACCACCCAATAAACTAGTTACTGTGTACTATTCAGTATAACTATCCACTTTTGAATGGGTTGATCTAAACGCGTTGACCTAGTGTGAGGTAAGTTGCTCAAACTCTAGCCGCAAGACATGTTCGTATAGTGAAGGAAATTTTTTTCATGTCACAACTGTGGAATCGGTCCATATGAAGCTCTGAAAGACATTATGTCTTAGTGTTAATTTCTTTTAATTTGGCGTTAAATGGCTCAGTTTTGGATATCATACGTGACATCTGTATCCTCAAGGTTGTAAGAGTGAATCATTCATGAATGCTGACGACCAGAAAACCTAGATATATCAGAATGTTTTCCAATTCAGTCCTCCTAAAATCAGATGCAGGTACACTTCAGATTATCATTGTTATCAGTCGTACTTATTACTGAAGTTACTATCAGTTTCTCGCTACACTAAGTTTGGTTTTATTTAAATCTATACACACATAAAAGAAAAAGCTTAATATCCTCGGTTGTACACTGTTTATTCGTACCGCTGTTAGAAATCCAGTGCTAAGGACAGATGTACAAGGATAATTTACAATGCATAGAAACGTCATACTGTAAGTGAGACATTGAAATATTAGACGTTTAGTTCTGATTATGCTAATGACTGAGCAATTGCATGTGAGTCACCATACTCCCAAGTTACATAATTAAGAGAGTCATTTTGCTGCTGGAAAGGCTTTTCGAGTTTTGAAGTGTCTTTGAAAGCCCCTTGTGATTTTTTACACCTGGTAATTACTGATGTAAGGCAATAACCATTTGTCATCATCGATAGTCGACTGAGTTCTCCATGGCTATGATGTCTAGGCAAAACTTTGAAGAACCCTTCCCAAAATTGATATCTGAAATTCAATACCTCTTCAAGAAATGTGATACCTTGCTGAAATAGCTAGTCCTGCGTAAATTAGATCCGTAGACTTCTGTTTATTTAACTATTTACTATTCCTGTGTGTTCTAGTTATCGTAAAGTGGGGAGGAAATTAAAAAAATAGAAACAAATTAAGTATACTAGACTAATTCAATTGTTTTTTGTTTTAATTTTAAAATCTTTACAGGAAGTGGAGAGCATTTTGATGTCAATTAATCTGAAAGTAAACAGACAGCATATATCCTCTGAAAGGAGAAACTATAATTCAATCGTCGTTTCACTGCAGAAGGTGGATTAATTGACTGACAGATTGCCTGAAGGACAGATGTTTCGCAGCTGTGAATTTCAAGTTCTTACAGTATTCATCTTGCTTGAATATTTTATTGTACATAGTAAGTTACTTTTTATAGAGGGGAAATTTGTTATCTAAGCGAAATATGATTACATTTATAAAAAGTTAGTGCAATTCATGTACGAACTGTAGTGATTTCGTAAATGCATTCAATAAATCATCGCTGCTAATTCGGTATTATCGGTGATATTCCAGCTACGGGAACTGATGAATGAATGTGCTCATGATAATCAAGTCTTAAGTATTATCATCATTTGCAGGCATTATAATTCTAAAACAGCCTTTGAGAGTGCAAAAGTAGTCAGAATAAGGTACAACTGCGGGAATCAAAACAGTCGATTTCATTCTTTAAGTCTACTGCTCTACGTTCATGGTGAATACACATTAAATTATTATGATTTGCCCATTTAGTTCATCTTTATACCTGAGATAAACTTTCTTATAAACTTCGTATTTAGTTATTGGGAGGGCTTGTGATCATGTTTGCTACTTAATCTCCAGTATATTCCGATGAAATGTTTCGCACGAAAAAGTAATAAATGAGACTGATAAAAATTCACTCACGGTAAGCATTAGACTAATAACTATTTCATTAACTGCCAGATGTTTTGCTAGTGTGTAATTTTCAAGAATTCAACATACATATCTATCACTATCTTGCAATATGTGACATTGTTCTAACTGCCAAAATGTTTAGTCGAACAGGCTACTCAATCTGCACTAGTAGAACTCACTGCTTGTAGCTTAGTTTAACTTATATTTTGAAATGATCAGAGTACGACAAAAATGGTTGGCTTAATATCGTTCAACCTATCCATTTGAATCCTTTCCACAATTCTAAAATATTAGAAAGCATAGGTAAATCAAGAAATTATGACAGAGAGATAACCCTTCTGGTGTCGGACTCGATGGAAAGGGTGATAATTTGAAATTGGAGATTTTCAAACACTGCTGAAGTTCAGATTCTGTTTAATACAAACTAAACTCATCGGTAGTACGCATCCACTGGATTTCAAATCCAAGATCTTTTAGTGACAAGGCAAGCTCATATACCATTCAGCCATTGGGACCTGATTCCATGGTAAGTCCATGAATTCCAACTTCAACCAATTCGTGATTTTAGCGCAACTACCAACCAATGTCATCGGTGGGAATTCAATCCTCACTCCTGACTGGATGGACCCAGCTGGTCACGACTTTTCACTGGAACTCTAGGCAACTTCGTCCTGTAGGCAGTCACTAGCGAGCAACTAGGACGAAACAGCTGTCCAGTTCTCCCTAGTTTTCAGTGGTTCTCTAACTGATATCAATCTGTGCTCTAACCTGAAACAAATACAATCCTTACAAACTAATTCTTCAAAAAAAGCTAAACTACTTAAAGTGCTTGAACATAAAAACTTTCTGTAAAAATTTTAGTTGAAGGGAATCAACATTTTATTGGGAAAAATTAGTTTTTATCTATTCAACCAGTTAACGCGTTATACTTAGATATTTATTTCCAAACAATTTAAATATTTCTCGCTCTATTGTTTGAAATACCCCTGAATCAGCTTTTGTCTAATTGAAAAACTGATTTCCGAAAATTCTTGTGACTGAAATACACATTAGGTATTAAAATTAGTTCCAAATACATCTCTGTTTTCCAGAGTCTTTAGGCGACTAGATCTGCATATCTTCTCACTAGTTAGACTATTTACATAGCTAGAATCGATTGCACACTTAATAAATATCACAGAAAATGAAAACTTAATAATATTCAAACTGCATTTCATTTATTCCGTGTTTACCTTATTAGTGAATACAAAGGACTATTAGTAATTGATTTTGCTAATATAAATATTTACTGCCTTCCATTGTACGCCTTCTTCATCTCGGATTGCTGTTATACCAAAAAAAAATAATCAAGTTTTGTATTCATATTGAGCTTAACACAATTTAGATCTATAGAAATGAATAAAAGACAACAGTAGTGTAGGATTATTTCACGTCTAACTTTAAATGTCACTGCGCTGACTTTTTGTTTTACGAATCACATGTACATACTATCCTTGTGGTTTCTTCTAAGCACCTAAGATTCATTTAATCACTGAAATGGATGTTAAATAGGTTAGACGATGTATTATATAATTCACTTTCCATTTTTTTTTTGTTCAATTCGTTTTAGTAAGTTTTTAGCCCATGAAAAATAAACTCAAATATAAGCCTGCTTAAACACTGTTTGCCTTTTTTCTTTTGTGTCAAATAGCATTCAACACACAATTGTGAGATCATCTTACCGACATGATATATTTGCCTTTTCCGAGATTTTATTCTGCTTTTTATTTTAATAAAAACAAAAGCGAAAAGTGTAACAATTTCTCAGGAAGTCGTTGTATTTTTTAGCTAATTCGTAGAGATGAATTGTAATACACAACTTATTTTCTGTTTCGCATCTGTTGTTAACTCCAAATAAATAGTTGAGTGGTTGGAAGTTAATTCCTAGTGTGCACACCGCATAATTAATGACCAAAATTTGTTGGATGTTAGCCTTGACTTGCTTCTCTTGACTATATAATACAGTTTTCAAGATATACATATAAATTCTAGACAAAGCTTTATTAATTATCCGAAATGAGTACCTGGAGAAGTTTATTCCTTTTCTCTCGGTGGGAAAAAGCCGATTTAACAATATTTTCGATAGAATTACATTGTTAATCCAACAAAATGTCAACGTTTGAAGTGCTAAGGTGTAAGTTTTTTTGCTCCAAACGAGTCCTAGACTGTTGGTTTGTATTGCCGCAAAAATAGATGTTGAAAATTGTTGATCAGTTGTGATATTATTATGATGAATATTAAACATGCATACTGGAAACATCATCCCCTGGTAAATATTAGTTTATAAATCTATGTTAATATATGTGTAAAACTTGGGCACTGTGGTACTAAGTTATTCCAGATTAGTTTGTTTATTAGGTGTATCACACAGCGAAACAGTATTATTTACTGAATGATGCTTCGAACAAAATTTATTGTGGTTCATAATCATATCAGTTATAATCACACGACTTCGAAATTTGAGTTTATAGTCTTCTTTGTTCTCTCCTATTTGTCGTAGGGTTGGTAGAATTTTTCAGATATCTGGGACAGGTGTTTAATCATTCCTGTTACACGTATTTGCAGTTGATTCGATAAACAAAGATTACGTTATCAATTTCTCCATCCACCCCGTTATATTAGATTTTAAAACTGTCATCCCATCCCATCCTGTTGTATGGTGGTGTGTAATTGCATGTAGTGAGTGCTATAGCTAAACTGTTCTCTTATTCGGGTCAACTAATCTAGATTTTGTTAGGTTTTGGTGCTTCCCTAGTCTGACTGCCCTGCTCTACTACTTTGACTTATGCATATGATCTGATAATCCTTGCAGTTTATTAGATAAACTAAATTGTTTTGTTTCATTAACTCCACAAGATCCTTTAACCGACAAAGCTTGTTTCTAATTGAGTTTGTGGGTTTGAATGCCGCTTTTATTCCTGCCTTGTTAGAAATTCTGCGTAAGGTTTCCGAGGTTCCTTATTTGTATGGAATTACAACTGATGATTTAGATTCCTTATTGTTGGTGCTGTCATTATCTTGCGCAATTTTGACATGCATATCGTCATTAATATTACTATTATTATTATCAATATCACTTCTATTATTATTTATTTTACTTTTACATTTCCCTGCATACTTTCTGACTGATATATCAGGGTAATTATTAAGTTTCAAAGCTCCTCTTATATGCCTCACTTCCTGTCATAGATTTTCCTTGGTACTACTCAGTTTTTGTGCTCTATCACTTAGACATTTCACCAATCCTTTTTTTCTAATATTCTACTACCCCTACGACAAACAGGAGAGAACAAAGAAAACTATAAACTCAAGTTTCGAAGTCATGTGATTATAACTGGTATGATTATGAACCACAATAAATTTTGTTCGAAACGTCATCCAGTAAACAATACTGTTTTTTTCACTGTGCGATATATCTTATAAACAAACTGATATGGAATTATAAATCTATGCTTCATCACATAAACAAACTGACATATCTCAAGTCCTGTTTGAGCTTAAAGGATATATTCAAAAATTCTTGTTTTAAGGAAGAAAACCTCATCCAAACTACCACAATCATACTTCGACTAAGGATTTATGCATTCCAAATGATTCTCCTAATTTTCACACCGACTTTAGTTTGTAAATTGCAGAATCGCTTACATTTTGATTTCTCAGTATACTTATTCACCCGGCAGTTTTCTTAAGTCGGTGATCTTAAATGCAGCTTGAGAGGTATGCCATTACTTACAGACAGTGAATTTTTCCTGGTGGCAACGAAAAATAAAAATGGATAATGAGTTCTACTACTCAGTCTAATTTCATTGTTTCCAGCCATATTGTAGGTAGTCAATGTAGCATGTTAGGAATCGAGAAGACATTGTTAAGCTGATGCAGTCAATAAGAACTTCCTTAGAATCTTGCCATCATATAACCTTGGCTTCTTTCATAGCTTTGACATCATCCAATTCCCTGATGAAAAAGCTGATGTCGACTTAATTTTTCACCATAATTTGTTTTCATTTTTGTATTTTTTTTCTTAAAAAAGAATTTAATATTTCTGCATTAGATTTAAGCACTCCTGCTTAATGATATTCGCAAAATAAACCTATTATGCAACTAATTTCTATTAATTTTAAATTTTAGGAAAGATTACTGTCCACACCTGTTAATATTCTTTGGCCAGTATTTGCCACTGAAATTTCCTAAAACAATTAGTTATGTAATTTCAAAATCTACTACATTTAACTGAAGTGTGGAGATAAACACTAGTCAATGAATTCATTTCGTTATTATTATTTGCCAATTTATATGCTGCTTCACTTCTAAATGTTCAGTTCAAAGAAATAACCTGATTTTAGATTTATAAACACACGCCTTGTCGATTACATTGAGTAAAAGACGGGTATTACTCAGTTTTCAAAGCCAAAGAATGCATCTTTGTCAAAATTAAAAAAAGAAGTCATGTTTTCTAATGACTTATAGGTTTCGATGACTACTAATGGAAGTTCGATGGATGCCGGATTACACCAGAGTGATTTTTTCACCGCCTAAAATTGTTTCCATTTGAAATTTCGCATAGATGAACCTGAAAACACACTTGTATGCCTTCTTTCTTCATGCAATCTAAGTGACTGTTAAACATTAGTACGACCAGTTATGTATTTATTATTATTCCCTTGGATTCCGAGTGAAACATAGGGCTTCAGCAGCGCGTCTTCATTTCACTCTATTCTCCGCATTTATGTTTAGCCAGCTTCTCGGGTGCCTATAAGCTGTCTCCTCCATATCACTCTTAAACGGACGAGTCGTCGCTTCCTATTAGAGTTTCACTTGAGGCATAGCCTGGGGCGCGATGTTCCTCACTGGTTACCAAGCCTTAGGCCAATCCATCTCCACTTTTGGTCTGCAAAATTTGGGCTACCGATATCCACGCTGAAAATGCTATACTTGTACTGAAAATACGGTGTGTGGTTAGTTCGTTCACAGAGCTGCTTGTTGCTGAACTTTTCTGAGGGATCGATCTTGAATGTGCAGTGGAAGCAGATTTGGATTAAAAAAGTCTGGAGCCTGTTTAAAAGGCTTTTGGTGACGCTCCAAGCCTCTGAATCATATAGAAGAACCGAATTGAACAATCACTTACATATGATAGTAATTCAACACCGATAAACTTCTCAGGATTTAGTAGCAAGGCTAACTGCTGGTAACTATAACTATTCCATCTCGGAAATGGATAGCTGAAAGTGAACTAGTTACTGTGGAAAAAGGTGTGTTATATTTAAACACTGAAATAGTAGGCTAGTCATATATATATATATATATATATATATATATATTAGATACAGGAGCGAAAACAAGTTTGTTTATTTAATGAGTCACTAATATAAGAATCTGAATGTAAACAGTATTAAGGATTTTCTGAAAGTAAAGCGATGAATAAAGCTGAACAGGGTTTTAATATTAGTCTCAATTGAATTTATCCTGTGAATACTACTTATTATTAGTCACATACACATTAACTTTCTGTTAGTTTCACACTAAATAAGACGTATACTGGGATGTTATATGAAAATCCCTATTAAAACCATGATCTGGTAAAAGCTGACAGGTAGCCATGGCAATTACTGCAAAGCTATCAGTACCCTCCAGCATGAATAGTGAAGGAATTTCATGTTTTTTAAACTGATAAGCTGTGTTTGTGCATTTGAATACTATTCACGTTTTTAAGTGATCACATACGACACTAACAGTAACGAAGTATTTCTATGCCTCCTGCTAATGAAATCCCAGTATCGAAATCATATCAACCATTGTATTCTTATGATGATAGGAGAATTATACATCTGAAGAAAGTTGTTTTAAGAATATACAGCGCATAGAGAAAACGGAGGTGATTAAGATGAGTAGCTAATAGCAACAGTAGCAACAGCCAGTACCAATTACTATCAACAGGAGAGATTTAACAGAGGTTGCCTCCTTCACTTATATAGGAAGCATCGTTCCAATTACAAGTGGAACAGATGAAGATGTCAAAGTCAGCTAGTCAGAATTAAAAAGGCAAGATACACCTTTATCTACCTGAAACCAGTTTGGAAATCTTCTGCTTCACTCACTCAGCCAGAATAAATAACAAGATTCGCATTTTCAACACCACTGTCAAGTCGCTCCTTCTATGTAGGTGAGAAACTTGCACTGCGTGTCAACCATGAAAAGGATTTCCGACAGGCTGCAGACTTTCATCAACAGCTACTAGGTTCACTGGCTCCATACTGAAGATCAAATGGCTAGCCGACCAGAAAGAATTATCACGAAGAAACTCTGGCTGAGAATAAACCAACCGCGCAAGAGTCAACCGCTTAACAAATATGTAGGAGAAAATGGAGATGAATCGGGCATACGGTGAGGAGACAGTCGAGTGGCATCGCGTGAAATGCAGGCCATCGCTCAAGTGGAATCCCAATAGGTAGAGACGAGTGGGCCGTCAGTGCGTGGGTGACATGGAGGAGATGAGACATTATGGGTAATCGTGGGGTTAGCTGAAGAGGATGGCATAAAATAGAACAAAGTAGAGATGTGTTGTTGAAGCCTTATTTTTCACTCGAAACCCAAGGGAATAATAATAATAAAATATATAACGTAAATGGTGACGGTAGGAGTCATTCGAAATGATGTTTTATACATCATGATAACTAAGTTATTTTGAAATAAACGCCATTGGTGTAATCAACTTTTCTAACTAAACAATAAGACATACATAAACATTTTTGTTTAATGAAAATTGACATGGAATGGTCTGTGTATAATAAAGTTTAATCAGACAATGCAGTCAAAATTCAATTGAATATTCACATAATTGTTTTACAGCTATAATTCTATAATTCTCACCATAATACCTTCGATAAATATAAATTCAGTAAGTACCTAGAAATACTCTTTGAGATGGAACTGCTTAGAGGAAATTATATTTCAGTAACAACCACCTTCAAACGAGATTACATACATTTTGCGTTACTTCAAATACCATAGTGAATTATAAAAAAAGACAGAGAGGTACTGTAAAAGATGCATAATGTTCTTAAAAGGTGTCACGCATACATCCTTCCGATTTACAGGTGTAATAACTCAGCTTATAAATAAAAAAGATATGAAATTTAGAGTAAACCGGATCAGTAGATAAGCTTGTAATGTAATTTAATGTTCAGTGGTTCTGCCCCGTTTGAATGTTGTCTTAAAGTGTATTAGGGACGTTCACTCCAGAATAATTTTCCCATTCATTGCAAGTGTTGATCAAAATTGTGAAGCTTAATTGTTTGGCTTTTTGTTAAAAATCAGTGTTAGTTAGCACATGAAAATGTCAGTAACACAGCTCAATGCCATATTAAGATAAAGCTAGATGTCACAATGTTTGACAACTTTGAGCTATCTTTTTTTTATACAGAGTAACACTTTATTCAACGTTTATTTACTTCACCGAATCAAACTACTAATTTCAATATTCCACTTCTAGGTGCACAGTTTACAAACGAAACTTCTAAAACTATTTGGCTAGATTTGAACGTAAATCAGATTGATCTGTCTACTGAAAAAGTTCTATCCAATATCATCCAGTCAATGGTTAACAGAGAAACTTCATCTGCTCTCATCCACCATGTTGAACCGCGATCGACGGTAACCATTGACTGTATCATATTATATGCTTATGGAGGGGAACAAGAAGTGACCATGAAAACAGGACAAGCATTGAACATTCAACGAAATCCAAACGTTCATCTAACTTGTCCACTTTCCAGACGTGTATGTTTTTCCAACTGTTCACCAATGGATCAAAATTTAACTGATGTTAAGTGCAAATATTTATCTATTTATCAAAAAAATACAAGTGTTGATAGGGTATTTAGAAAATTCCCCTATGAAAAAATAAATATTTTTCGATATACATTTCATGAGTTATCTGACAAATTCAATGGAACTTGGACATGTCATTCTGATGGGCAATCAAGTGAACTTCATGATTTAATTGTTTCAGGTATGTTCAAATCTTTTGAAAATATATATTTACTCAACTTACTTTCCTCTTTTATCAATAATTATAACTATAGGAAAATGAATTTTGAAGGAATCATGAGAGGTAAACTGATGATAGCTGTGTCAACATTATCGCCAATAACATGTCACTATGTTAACTCTGTTATAAAGCACTGATATCAATTAGAGAAGCATTGAAAATCAGGGAGTACTAGACAGCTGTTTCATCCTAATTTTGGGAATCATCGGCAGTACGCATCCACCGCCAGGGTTTGGACCCAGGACCCTGCGGTTACAAGGCAAGCTCGTATATCATTGAGCCACTTGGACCTGATTTGATCGCCTGTGGTCGAACTCTAAAAAGAAATCTAATCCTGACAAACTAAATCTTGAAAATTAACCTGATGCTCGCTAGTGACTAGCTACACGATGGATTTTCCTAGAGTTCTCGTGAGAAGTCGTGACCAGTGAGGTCCATCTAGTCGGGAGTGAGGATGAATTTCACGCCAATGACATTAGTTGGTGATCGCACCAAACCCATCTCGAATCGGTAGAAGTTAGAATTCATGGGCTGGCCATTTATTTGGGTCTCAGTGGCTGAATGGTATATTAGCTCACCTGGTAACCAGAAGGTCCTGGGTTAGGCCCCCAGTGGGTGCGTACTGCCAAGGAAGAATTATGTAAAAGTAGAAAACCCAGGAGAACAAGCAGCATAGATCAAGTATTTGTTCAGTGACAAATTGAACTGTCACATCCTATGCATTGTGCGTTTGCAAATATACTTAATTCAACTAATTAGGCTAGAAAAACATAGCCTGATTGTATTTCTTTTGTTCGAGAAAATGTCCTTTTATTTCACAGAAAAATGCAAAGCTTTCTACTAGTGTTTTTGTACTCTTAATCTAATTCACATCAAGACAGTGCTTTTAGGTGCATTAAAATACCAACAAAAGTTGTAAGGCTAGATAATGAATGATCAGACTGGACTATGTAGCCCACTTTTTAAATTTAAACTAATAATAAGATTTGCCATTTTAATTATTTATGAAATCCGTTACTTTTCCCATGATAAACTAACTGCTCAAGTGCTTAAGAATCCTGAGGAAGACAGTAAAAGGTGCTATGAGATTCTGATAAAGTCTTTCTTACAAAAATGTTTCTGTTGAGGTGAATTAAGCACAGTACAACTGAATGCAGAAATTTAAAACGGAGGAAAATGTCAGGGAATTCCTAGAAGCCTCGTACTCAAACGAATCAGCAGTTAACAAACACATTATTATTAAGACACAGAAAATCCCAATGCAATTAATCTGAATAGAAATCCCGTATCATCCACTGCAAAGCATTTATTAATGTCAGGTCACAAAATCAATAATGCTGACTGTTTCAAAATTATTCCACATAACTCTAATTCAAGATTATTCAAAGGTGATGGAAGCACTTTGGATTAATCACATACATCCTGAACTATGTGTACAGAAAACAACAGACTTCAACCTTCGCCTACCATGGACTAGTTGACCCATTTGCATATGATTGGTCATTAGTATGTACTTTTGTTTTATATAACTGAGTAATTCTCATGCGTTTTATTTTATTATTGTGAACCATGTTAGTTGCAAAGCGATTGTAGAGAAACTGCGAAGTGATATCATCTAGTGAGATTTGTCTTCTAAATGCCTTATTCACATTTTTTTATTTCCTTCACGTTCCCAGTGGAACATAGGGCTTCAAGGTAAAGGCTTGAAGTTTCTGTAGCAGTGTTTAATTTTACATCTTTCCTCTTTACCAGTCTCATTACCGGTTTAGCGAGGTAAAGGAGTGCGTCGGCTGGGGGTCGAATCCCGGACCATGTGCACGGTCCGCGACCGTCTTAACCGCTGTGACACTGACGCACATTACTATTGATCAAATTTACCAAGTAATAAAAATATCACAAAACACATGGTTTTCAGGAGATACAATAATATCAATCGTGAAGAATTAAAATAAGCTCATTTCCACGCTAAAACTTACTCTGAAGATGTTGTCTACAAGGGGGAAAACGAAAGCTTTGCAATTGCATCAACCTACTCAGAGAATCCGACCAAATCAGAATCACCCATCTGAGATACAAATCTTCTCTATTATTCTCTTACACCAAGTTGATACTAGTCATAAGGTGAACATAAAATGCGGTGACCTATAAGATATCTAAACACTCGCAACACATAAAACGAATTCGGTTACTTCTGAATAGCTACAATTAGCATCGCTTAGATAATGGAATAAAAGCCATGGATGAAGAAAACCTGAAAGGTCATCCTTTTGCTAGACTGTAGTAACCTTGATGAAGTATTCAGTTCCTCTTCAGGACAAACTGATCAACTGGAAAAGTCATGCACGCATTATTCTATCTTCATCTCAGTATTTTGTAGACCTTTATTTTTGGATACCCCTATTCTTATCTTACTTTCATAAGTCATCGTTACATTATTTCATTTCTATAAAGTATATTAAAAACCTGCAGACATTTATATGCTTGGTTAATTATCCAGGGAGCAAATGACCACATATCTCATTTCCTTGTATGATGTATTATCCATCTAAGGCGAAACTCTCAAGTCTTATGTGTGTGTGTTGGTGACCTCCAGACTTTATAAAATCTTAGGTAATCACTTAAATAATCATCACTAAATAAAATTGAACTGGATTTTATTACTAGACCTAAGCGATTGATTGTCTGGCATTTACCAACCTGGTAGGATATAATATTTTATTCCGCAGAAAATTAAAATGAACATTAATTACCACATATCCAAGTATTTTTCGAAATTTAACTCATATATATATGTGCATATATATCAAATATTCATCATTTTGGTCAAAGTGACTGTCCACATATTTATGGAATTGTGCATCAGCATAGTTAAAAAGTCAGTAAATATATGCTCCCCATCCTATGAATGTGTAATCGCCTTTCAAATAAGGCCCAGTAACTACTTTCTGTATTTTGAATCCTAGCTCTGTTTCACATAACGTATGTGTGTAGGACAAAAGCAGTGAGTGCTATGAGGATTTTTCTATGTTTTACGTGTATAACTTTTCAAAAAGTCTAACTACATTCAACTATGATTATTATTTGCTGGGTTCATAGGGATTCAACAGCATATCTCTACTGTGTCGTGTTTTCTCCACTCATCTTCAGCTAGCTCCATGACCGTCCATAGGCTCTCATCTCCTCCTGACACGGCCTCATCCATGTCACCCTCCAACCAACATCACACTCGTCGTTTCCCATTCCAATTCCACTCGAGTGATGGCCTGACGCGCGATGCCACCCAACGGTCTCCTCCGTGACATTTGTCCGATCCATCTCCATTTTCTTCAACATATTTGTTGAGCAATGGGTTCATGATTGGTTCGTTCACAGAGTTTCTTCTTGTTAATCCTTTCTCGACAGCCATTTGGTCTCCAGTATGGAGCCACTGAAGGCAGATGTTGATAAAGTTCTGCACTAGCCTGCTGGAAATGCCTTTCGTGACAGTGCAGGTTTCTGAATCATATAGAGGAACCGATTGTCTTTAGATTTGTGTTGAAAATCCGAATCTTGTTGTTTATACTGACTGAGTTAGTGCTGAAGATTCTCAAATTGATTTCAGAGTGATTAAGGCGTGTTTTGCCTTTTCTGATTCTCGCTGCATTTGACACTGTCATCCATGTTGTCACCTGTAATTGAAACGATATTGCCCAAATAAGTGAAGAAAGTCACCTCTTTCAATTTGCTTCCGTTAATAGTGATTACTTATTGTTTACTAGTTCGCTAGCTTTCTAGCCAGTCCTCAACCCAAGAAAAGAGGGAAGATTGGATGTCGAGCTAGCGACCCTACGCCAGAATATCAATCCAGTGACTACACAAAACTTCAGAGTGCATTCAACTACTTTAAAATAAGTTGTATAAAAAAGAATTCAATCATTGTTGTACACGCTATTTTGCCTGAGCTTCTAGCTTTCATGATTATACAAAGAAATAAAGTTGTTTATTAAACTAGGCTGAAAAATCCACTAGAATTATCTCAGCGCTAAAATAAGTCTCCGTTTAATTTTACCAACGGTATTCTTTGTAGATAAGTACCAAGTTGATTTTGTTCGACGAAGCAGTCAGAGGTAAATAGAATTATTCAGAGATATGATGGTTTCTCAGAGGTATTCAGTGGGAACAACTATGGCACATTGCAGTTAAAGAGAGAGACGTAACTGACTTTTAATAGTTTGCCTTCATAAAGATGAAATAAGTCGTGAAAATCCATGGTAAAATCAGCATGAATAAAACAGGGAAATACTCAGAAACCACGACAAGCAGTATTCATGAACTGTCTGAATTACACAAAAAGAAACACATACTCCCTAATAAGCTAGTGGACCACATACATTTGGAATAATGTGACGGCATTGGTCATTATTTGATAACTATTACGTTTCGTTATTGTTCACTTAGGAAATGAAAAGGTTATAATGGTTATCTGAAAGCAAAAACCTCATTCGGTGAAATACTATCATCTACATTCTTTTCTTAATGCAAAGCGATAGGTACCACCTAATATCTTGATGTGATGCATATGGTTTCATATTTTCTTCGTTATTTGTCGCATATCTTTTCATGTCTACTATGGATAAAATGACTGTCCAAATCTTATCTTCTTCTCCGGAGTTAAGACTGATTGAAAAGTGTTAAAACATCTGTAGAACTACGTTCACTTGTTATGTGGTCGTTATTAACCTACGAAGTTTCAGATGCTGACTAAATCTTAAATATTCTCATTTGAGAATGCCACAAATCCTACAGCACTGGAAAATGAACAAAGAGAAATTCCTGATAGAGTTCAAAAGGCACGTTTCTTCCGGTTTAGGATTCATTGGCTAAATATGCCCACATCTCAGCAAGTGATGGTGTCCATAAAAGTTCCCAGATAAAGCAAACTTTTTAAGGAAGCACGTCGTAATATTAACTAGATTGGTATT